TATTTGGTTATCATTGTTGGTTATTTAATTTTTCAGACACTATAAAATGGTTCCATTCTACTCAGCAGACAAAACAGTATAGTATTTCTTAGAATAGAGAGAAGGGTGAAAAGACCTACATTTGGGACAAAGGTAGAGAAAATGAGCCAATCCTATGTGTAGGAAAAAAAACTAAAACAGTTACAAACACTGTCATGTTTTTTTCATATATTCTCAACAGATTTTTCTTACATGATATAACACATTTTTCATGACATTCAAAATCAATATAAGCAAAAAATATGTTTTTAATGACCAGTGGCACTGACCAATTCTGAAAAATTAAATAACCAACAATGATAACCAAATAACCCAAAACTAATGGAAAAAGATTGAATTAAAAAGAGAGTGTGAGTTGGACTTTGTAATAAGAGAACAGAGCACTCATACAGACCTTTTTTTTCTATCAGTGCATTTTCTGGCATTAAATGAAAAATTTTGGCTTATCCTGAGGACACTGATGAGTTTCAGTTGATTCACAGTACTTATCTAGAAGCAAGTCACAACTTCCATTATCTCTTGGGGCCCTACAAAATACACATTTTTGTTGATATGTTCTTAGGACTGTATGTACATGTGCAAATACATTTTCTATTTATGGAAGTAGTTACACATTGTAACAATAATTCTCCAATATTGCCTCTACACTATTCTGTCTTAGTCTTTATCCTGATCATTTTGTTTTTTGTTTTTCTAAATTGTTTCTCCCTTCCCTCCACCAGGAATATATTGTGGACAGCCTCCAAATATTACTGCTGGATTTCACAATGGAAATGCAACCACTTACCCTGTTGGAACAATAGTACATTACAGTTGCAGTAAAAATCTTTCCCTTATTGGGGCATCCTTTATGGTCTGCAGTGCTAATGAAAATCTAACCGGACTATGGAAAGAGAAACCACCCATATGCAAAGGTTGATTCCCCACCCCTTCTTCAGTTTAAAACTTAATTGTTGTATGTTCCTTTTTTATTTTTCAGTAATATTGAATAATTATTTTGCTTTATTTCTAAGCATTATATCTGGTTCTCTCAAGTTAGTTTAATGGTAGCCTTCTCTTAATCATATACTGTAAATGTAATTTTGTTTATATATTTAATTGGTCAATACCAACTGACTCAATTCAAAGTGGCCTATAAAGAAATAACAGTTAAAAGTTTTCAGTTCAAATTGGATCCAGAGTTCCAGGAAAAAGGTTTGCGTTTTGGAGGAGAAATCACAAGATTTCTGCTATACTGTATTTTTGGATTACGTTCAAGTAAAAATAGATTTAAAATATACAGAAACAGCTGGCGATATTTTATATCTTATGGTTGTATTTATTTTCCTATCTTATTAGGGGTATTCTGTAAAGATCCAGTGGTAGAACATGGAATACAGATAACTCAACCTGAGAAGCCATATATGTATGGAAGCAAAGTTATATTTCAATGCAAAAGTGGGTATTTTATGATTGGAAATTATTTGATTCGATGTGAAAAAAACAGCATTTGGGTTCCCATAGTACCATCATGTAAAAAGAGTAAGATTTTACATTTTTAAATATTTAATTGGAATTTCTTTGTAATAAATAATTTAAATGTAAAATGGTTAATGTTCATATATTGAAATTCATACCTTGACTTCTGTTTTCCCCATTCAATGTCATATACTGTAGGGTTTTGTCCAACTATGGAAAATTGGTCATGTGTATGCAGCATAATTATTCATATAATAATACACTGTAATATAGAATGACAGGCATCCCAAAGTTGAGAAACATGTCATTGATAGCATTTCTTCCTCCAATTTTTCATTAACACAACTCTATGTGACCAGCCAAAATCATCCTGTGAAGTTTTGTAGCAAAGGGGGTTTTATACTGGGTTTTCCTGGTCCTATTTTAATTAGGACATACTGACCAAATAAGTTGTTGCCTTCTCTTTGTCAAAGAGAAGAAGTGACCTGGCAAAAACTACTCAGGGAACTTCTGTGAGGGATGAGGCTGAGATGGAATGAATTAGATTGGGATGTCCTTGCGAAATTTAAAAAAAATCCCAGAGGAAGGCAGTGATAAATGATTTTATTATTGCAACAACAAAAAACAACCCATGAACAAACCAACCCTATACAGATACCTCCTCAGGGTACGATTTGAAGGAAAACTGAAATTGAAATGAAGTTCGATAAATCTTTTTAGTTTGGTTGCCTGGGAACTTATTTATAGACATGTCAAAGTGTAATTCAGTGTAAGACACATCTCTATCTTGAAATGGATCAGGTGTGTGACTTTGTGTGATGTGAATGTGAACTAATAAAAAGAAAGTGAATTGTTACATACTGTCTTAGCTTTATCAGAATGTAGATAGATGATATGTCTTGATAATTTTTGCATAAAAACTATTTTTATTACAGTTTCTCGAGGCATATGTGGTCCTCCATTGATTCTCAATGGCAACATACAGCCTTTCCAATCTCAGTATGAAACTGGAAAAACAGCTGTCATAACTTGCAACCAGAACTATTCTTTTATTGATGACACCATAATAATGACTATACAGTGTCAAGGTTATAATCTCTGGAATCCTCCTGCACAATTATGTTTCCGTAAGTATAAATCTAGGTGTGAAATGTTCCCTTCTATTGCTTCTAATGCTATAATGTAGACAAAGGTAGCTATATAGGAGCAATATATTTTAAATATTA